CCGTCTCTCCGTCGATTTCTGTTGACGAAATAGGAATGTTCTTCCCTCTCTCTTGCCGAGCGAGGCTGTTGCTTCCGCAGGGAAATTGCGTTGGCTTCTTCCTCCACATTTTGAATGTATCTGAACATGGACTTGGTCGTCTTTCTCGTCTTTGGGGCTCGCCGCAACACTCGCCAGACGCCAACATTTTGAATGAATCTGACCATGGACATGGTCGTCGTACTGTCAAAAAGGTGGCGTCTGGCGGGTGGTGCGGTGAGCGCTTTTTTTGGCTGTATCTCACTTGCTTTCTGTTCGTCGAGGGCATAACACACGGGAACAGTTGGGTGGATGGCTGAATGGAGATGAACAGATGGGTCCATTCAGCTGGGTGGATGGATGAATGAACAGTTGCTTTCTAATCTCTTCTCTCTACTCACGTATGAACAGATGGGTGGGTGGATGAATGAATGGACTGCTACTCTCGTCTTTCCTTTCTTCATGAATAAAATCGCACAGAAATGTCGTTCGATGGCCACTCTGCTACTCTCTTCTCTCCTTTCGAGAACATTCTGTTCTCTCTCCTCCTCCTCCCCCCTTTGTCGTACCCATTCATTATCTATCGTCCAATTCCCTCTAATCCCTCTACACACTCTACTTCCTCTTTCGTCCCTCTCTCTCCTTACCTCCCTCCCCCGTCTACTCCCTCTACTCCCTCTACACACTCTACTCCCTCTACTCCCTCTACTCCCTCTACTCCCTCTACTCCCTCTTCTCCCTCCCCCTCTCTTTATAGACATGTCTGCTCTGGGCTCCGTTCGCTACATGCGGCCTGTTCCCGTCTCGTCCTCTCTCATGCACCCTCTTCTTTTTTCATTTCCTTGGGGTTGTCCTCCCTTTATTGTTGCGCTTTTAAAATTGCACCATTTGTCAATTTCTGTGTGTGTGTCATCCCTCCATTGCGCAGGGGCCATGCTAATTAAAGTAATTAGTCTTTCTCCCTGTATCGTTCCAAGTTGATTGGATGGCCCGCTGCTTTGGGCCATGCTAATTACAGTAATTAGTCCCTGTTTTGCATTTTTTCTATTCGCGTCGTCCTTCATGGGTGTCCTTTTATCTCATACACCCTTGCTCTCTCTCTGTTGCAATTGCTGCAATACCTTGCCACACCCCCAGAGAGGGCGGGAGGGGGGGGTGGGTGGGCGGGGGGCATGAAGACAAATTTTTGATGGATGCCTCTTGTCGAAGCGCAATTCTTCCATGCATGCCCCTTGTCTTCGTCATCTTGACAGTCTGGTTGCCGTTCTCCTCCTCCCCCTTGCTCTCGCCTCCGTCCTATTCCCCTCTCGTTCGCACAGATGGCGCCTTCCATTCAACGATGAGGATGAGGATCTGTTATCTATGTCACGATGGCGATCCGTTATATATGTCTATGAATACATGGGGAGAGAGAGAGAGAGAGAGAGAGAGAGAGAGAGAGAGAGAGAGAGAGAGAGAGAGAGAGAGAGAGAGAGAGAGAGAGAGAGAG